ATATTTAAATTTGTTTGATGATCTGAAACATTTAAGTGTGACAAACATGCAAAGAAATCAGGAAGGGGGCAAACACTTTTTCACACAACTGTATTTATGCTCATTGTAGTGTTTACAACTATTTTCGGAGTAGCCTACACAGCATTATTCAGATTGCATTATCCATGCATATGTGTAACAAGAAGCAAAGAAGAATCTATATAAAGCATCTCCTCATCATTAATAAACTTTCCTCCAACTCGGCCCGTGCATTCTATCCATGTACTGTTGTCCCAGATCATTTTATAATTCATAACACACTTACATCAGCAATGTTGCACCCATGGTGACACGTTAGTGCTGGCGCCAACAGGATATTAACTTAAAGTCCTTATTTAATCACACCCATGTTTTTGCACGCAGAGGCTGCAAAGGTTGTGTGATTGATTTTACTGATGGTCATTTTCCAAAACACAACTTTTTTTACATTCAACAATTAGCTCGTCGCTGCCTGCTGTTAAGTCTTGGATGTTTAAGAGTCATGAGAGTCCCTGCTGACAAGGGCATTACCGTGCAATGTTAATATAACGTTGGCATGACAGAAAAGGCATTACGATAGATGACTTTCATGTAAGAATGTCCAATATGTTGTGAAGCCAACAGCTGTAAAGTATAAGCAGTGAAAAGATAATCTGCACAATCGCATGCAGTGCTCAGTGCATTTTGTATTGCTCTCCTAGATGTTTGTACATTGTAAACCTCCTCAGGTTCATATTGGCAACAGGACAACACTAATGAAACCATCTTGTCACTCTTAATCTCCCTCAGACCGACCCTGGCTGACAGATGTTCAGAAGGTACAGAAGTTGCAGGAGAAAGTCTACGTGGCTCTGCAGCGCTGCCTACAAAAAGAGGGAGCATCAGAAGAGAAGCTAGCTAAGGTACAAACCCTGCTGCATTACTGTGACAAGATAATTCACCTGTTGTATTTGTTTCTTCTTTTAACTTATTCTGCTCTTCTGTATTTCCTTTCTAGATGGTGTCTAAGCTTCCCATCATGAAGTCCATTTGCAACCTTCACATCGACAAACTGGAATTTTTCCGTCTGGTCCACCCTGAGACCGCGTACACCTTCCCTCCTCTGTATAGGGAGGTGTTTGGCAGTGAAATCACCTTCCCAGACTCCACAGAGGGCTAGAAGCGCTTAGCTAAATAGAGGGATTTAAATGGAGACATTGAAGTGTAGGGATGGGGAGATAAAAAAAAATGTGGCAACCAGCTGAGACAAAAACCAACCAGCGGCTCAATGACAATCCTGCACGCTACACTTTAGGACTCACTCCTCTCACCTATGAGCTCCCAACCCTGTGGAGGAGCTCACTCTGCCCTGCCAGCCAGTCCATTCAGCTTCAACGTAACACTACAGGAACTGCTGCTGGCTACTCGGTACATGTTACCTCTTTTTTTAAGGAACTTATTGAAGAGTAGCCTAAATCATTTGTATTCTCAAAAAAATATTTTTCTATGAGATGACCTTAACCTTCTCTCATAAAGCTGAATTTGACTCTCGCTACTCTCGAAGTTCCTTTAAGCTATTGTTGAATGTATCCCCTCGTTCCCTTTACCGTTTCAGCGCAGCTCTAGGCTCGAAATAGAATGTACATACTTAAAATCCTCACCTACTTTCAGAGGTTTGCAGTAATCATGCCTGTTTCAGTTCTGTTGTGTAGTAACAGCTTATTATTTCATTCGATATTTTTGGTAGTGCCCATATTTTGCAGTTTTGTAATGTATGGACAAGCTGTTTTAAAGGGACCATGATCAAACTCACACAGAGACAGGGTTTTTAAACTGTGTGAATCGAGGGCAAACGGAAGGTTTGCACCCACAAACTCTTGCACACAGAGCACAAAACATAGCACTTAAACTGGTCTTTGTAGGTATCTTTACTAGCACATCCACAGACGCTGATGTAAGTGAGCTTCTTTTTTTTTTTTTTTTTTAATGCAATCAGTGACCTCAGCCCAAATACCTTTTCCCTTTGAAATTGCCACCTAGAGAGTGAGAGAATCAGAGGTATTTTGGAAGTATTTTCAGATGCTCCTTTTATATATAGTATAAATAATAACACCTCTATAATCATGTAAGATAAGAGCAGTCATGATGTCATCCCCAGTTAGGTGGAGGGTGATGTGCTTGTGCTCGGGTCTCTCATACAGATGCTGCCTGGCCAAACTTTGGGGATCTGGGGCGGAGAGATTGGTGTTGCTGCAAAGAAAATCGAATGAATAATTATGGCACTTATGAGTCCTTGTTCGATTCCAAAATGAACTCTTTGGTTTTTACGGGTTCGCTCTCAGACTGCCATCTGTGAAACTCATGTTAAACCGGTCGGAAATGCCAGATACACCCACCCGCTGTAGATAAGCTGTATGAACAAGGTGCTGGGCAGCCGACCACTGTGGGGTTATGAGCTATCATGGACGAGCGTCTGGAACTGTACCGCCTTAGTCCCCCCCCCCCCTCCTCCGCAGAGGAGTGCCATCGCCCCAAAAACCTCCAGCACCGTCTCAACCAGCAGATTCAAAAGACTTTGGGAGCAAAGAAAGAAAATGATCTGAGAGTTTGGTGTTGAAATACGACAGTTAATCACATTTTCCACCTACGTGGTTGGACGAGGGGCAAAGAATGGAGAGTGGACTTGTGGGTGATGGTGTTCTTTAAGCCCAGTCAGAGGGGCTTTACTGTCTGCGGCGACTCTCACTGCTTCGGGTAGAGGCCGACTCGTGCTGTCGCAGGAAGCCAAGGTGTTCTGATTGGAGAATTTGATCCTCTGTCCCCTCCCTTTGGCTACTACCTCACCCTCTTCAAACACTACGTGGCGCAGCAAAGGGTTGACAGAGCCATCAGCTACCCCCCTGAGCTTCTTCTCAAGTATAACAATTAGTGGTGAAATTTGAAGGCCAGTGACTAAACTATCCTAAAAATGTTGTTGTGCTCTTAAAACTGGACAGAAGACAAACGTATACTTACGGCATCCTCTCTTACTGCTTTTCTATCATTTGAGAGCAGTGCATGCCTTTAGGTCCAGGAAGCCCTACTTACGTAAAGATCTGTCTGAAGTCTCTGGAGACATTAGGGTGTGTCCAGATGAAACCTTTATTCTTCAAAATAGGGGGACATATTGGATTTCTGTCCCAGAGGAGCTACTAGAAAAGAATAGTTGTAATTTATGCTTTTTTTAAAAAAATTTTTATCTTAAGCATTCTGCGACAATCACACGACAGATGTTGGATGTCTAGTCTATTTAATATGTCAGCCTGGTTTGCTTTGTGCTGCTGGGACAGTGCTGTTCGCCATACATTATCTCACATAGTGTGAGATAATGTAATGTAAGGGTGTGACCCTTATCTGGGTACGTACGACAGTGGCGTGGTGGGATTGTGCAATAAAGTCTTTCCCATTGTAATAGCGTTGTTAACCTCGCAGCACGACAAATAATGTTATTTAGAATATAATGTACCAAATACTCAGCCAACCACTAACACGGGGTCAGCTCTCGGCTGACACGACAGTCAGATGACGCTTGCAGATTGTAACAAAGTGCAATACTTTGTCTGTGGAGGATGTGAGACATGCTGCTTTGAAAGGATTCGGTGTAGTTTTTGCATGCCTAAACACTGTCCAGGGGGGGGGCAGCACTGAAGATCTGCACTTGCATTTCCTGAGTTACTCAGGGAGATAGCTGGGCTCTCTGTCCTACAGTGTCTGCAGTTAGTCTAGCAGGACACCTTGCACCAACATAGAAGACCTTAAAACCTTGATCACTGTGTACAGTACATGTTCTTGTGAATGTTTTATTTCAAAGTATCAAAGACTTTACCCCTGTCTAATATCATTATTGCAAGACCTTTTTTTGAGTTTGAGTCATAGATGAAATAGGATATTAAAAATAGTCAAATAAATTTAAAAGGTGGATTATAATCTCGGAATCTTGTGTTGGTTTTGTTGTGATCTTTTGTTTCCTGATTTTTATCCCTATGTGGACTTTTTTTTTTCTCATCAGTTTAGTGTCCTTTTTGTCTTGGAGAGATGTAATTCTATTTTTTTAAAGAGCGTTTTTAAAAGATGTCTCCCTAAAAGTTTCTCTTTTGTCATGATCCTTCTGTTTATATGTTCATGATATTTTAAGATTACTATTATTAAATCAATATAGATTTTAATAAGAAATTATTTATGACATGTTATGGATATATAAAGCCTAAGAGGTTTTAACACAACTTAGTGTTATTGCACAACGGTGATACAATATGTGGATTTAAGAATGTAATAAAAGTCTTTTTACAATTAAAATAAAAATGTATTGCTTCACTTTATGCTTCATGAAACTAATTGCACCCAAAATGACCTGCACAGATGAACCAATTTATTCTCCATAACCACATGAAATAATACATTTATCACAGTTTTATTAAACACAGATTCCTTTTCTTTTGGTCATAATACATACAGATGTGTTTGGAAAAAAAAAAGTCAAATGTAAAATTGACTTTTCTAAGTCATTTGGATGGCTACATACATAAAAACAGAGTGAAAGATACCCTATATTGCAAACATACAGTGCATTATTACCACTGTGTGGTAGATAACAGGTGTTCAGAGACACAACCACACGCTTGAGTAAGTTTTTATTCCCTGTAACATAATTGCATGTATTCACAACCAAGTGCCTGTGCATTATTTGATGTTTGTTCTCATAAGTTGCATTTTCTGAAATACCTGATACATGACATTAACCAAATAGCTACACAGCAAATCTTGGCAAGGGAGTTTTCCAGTGTAGGAACACTTTACACCCTGCACAGAGAGTGGGAGGAAGTGGGTTAATATAGGAGCCCAATTCCTTATTTATACCCTGGGGCAAGTTAAGTGTTAATCAGCTATATTTCAAGCCATAACATATAACAATCTCATTTCTTTTTATATTTGCCAAATCGGACCAATGAGCCATTTTATTCGTGTCTTCAGATGGGCTTTGAGTAAATCGCCTGAGGATGTGAACATCTGGCCTGTAATTCCTGCAGCAGACGGACGGGTGTTGTACCCGCTCCGTCCAGCAGGGGGCGGTGTGCACTAACACACGACTCGTGTGGCTTCCACCAAACTCAGGGAAACTGGTTTCTTCAAAGCGGCTGGTGCAGATTTAATGTGCCCTAGATTTTTACTGCTTGGTTTTTCAATTCGGGAGATAATATTTGGGAGGATTTAGCACACTTCTCGCTCCGTTATCTGCCGTGACAGTGGGAACAATCAGCCTCGACGTTGGTTGACGTGGTCAGTTGGCGTGTCCCGACTTGGAGTGACGGCTGTGCAGTCCTATGATTCCTCCTAAATTCCTCCCTTTTTCTAACAAACTACATCGTTTAACTTTTAGTTAAATCGTGACCGATTTGCAATTCGCCGGGACGCCGAAGACAAGCCGGTGTTCAAGATGTCGGTAGCGGGCTTCAAGAAGCAGTTTTATAAAGCCAGCCAGGTTTGCAAAAAACTTTTCTTTTAAGCTAGCTAACTGTCATGTAAGAAAGCTAGCCTCACTTAGCATTATGAGCTAGCTAGTTTATAGTCGGCTTCATGTTAATAACGCTTTGTTAATGTAGCTGGTAGCTGTGTGGTGACAGGAGTAAGCTACCGTTAGCTTTGTGTCAGTGTGTAACATGTCAGTTAATTTTAAGTTGGCACTTTGTGTTCTTGTACAGCTTAGCGTTAAAGTTAACGAGCATCTCTCGGGACATGTTTTCACATTAGCTGAACTATAACGTTCACTAACGTTCAGTAGCTAATGCTAAGTAACGTTATTATGCATTTTACATGTTGTGTTTTTAAAGCAACGTTACCCAGCAGTGTGCACCAGTTCAGATTGAGTAAGTACACATCCTGTAATAAACATTAGCTCTGTTTGCCTAAGGGACTCTCCGGGTGAGTCAGAGCTCTTAAGAGTAAAACAACAATGCACTTTTAAGCTAAAAGTTATGTTTATTCAGGAAAAAGACCCTTCTAATATGTGTATTGATCTTAGCTTCTTGGCGGTGAAGACACAGTTACCTATTATTCCCCAGCTGTGTGTTGTGTTAGTCTTTTGTTTAGTGAGACAGATCAATATTTAGGGCAGTTTGAGGGAAGACATCCAAAATACCTTTGCGTTAGAAATGCCATTACGGTATTTTTTAGTGTCTGAATGTTTTTAATTTCGGGCCTGCTCTCCTAGACATGGGCGGGGACGCTTAGAAAGATTTATTTTTTGGGGGGGTCTTTTTTCTTCCTACCCCTGCTGATGTAAGCAGGAAAAGACATTTGTTTTGTGCCCAGCTTCCTGTCAGGAACACACTCAGATCCCTGTTGGTTTTGGTTAGGAGTGTTTGGCACTGACTGTTATTCAAAAAAAGTGAAGGTGTTGGAGGGAGATAAAGCAGATTAATGATGCAAAGAAGGAGGCGAAATAGTGTCCTTTCCCTTTTTTCATTTGTCTGCAATGCAGCTGCTTTTCTTGCCAAAACTCCATGAGGGGTCAATAACGCTTGACATGGCTCAGATTTTCTTCGCGGGAGGCATACAGGAAGTTGGCTGTGGAAGCGATGTCTGTGTCCTGTAGCTCACACATTCTTGTTTTTCTCTTTTGCTGCCTGTTTTTCATGAGAATTCATCTTGCCAGAAAATCTATAAAAACCTGAAATGTCGCACTCAAAAGGGCAGTTGTAGCACAAACAACATTACGCTCGCAGGAGTTGTAGATGGGACAGTGGAAGGGATTGTTAGTCCTGAGTGAAGATGACAGTTTGATCTATACTTGTGCAGTTTATCAAGTTTATACATGCGCTGATATAATTGTAAGTCTTCTGGTTCTCAAATGCTGAAAGTGACAGCTGTAAATAGATGACGTCATGCTCAAATGTAGGATTTGTGATGGATGACGCAGATACGAAGAGATGCAAAGAAGCAGCTTGCATGAAGCAAATATCAAACGCATTAACACAATTATATATTTTTTGTTTATTACACAAATAACGCCAGCTATGGGGATAAGTCCCAATGTTGCTGTCCTTGCCTTGAGTTTAATACCAGTACAAACAACAGCAAACAAACTGAAAGTTTTCAGATACCAGGGAATGATCCACACCTTCCCTCCAAACAATCTGAAGAATTCTGAGTAGCCATAGTATGAAATGTGATATCCAGTGGTTGTTGTCTTCTTAAACTATTACCATTAACTGGAAGAAGTATCAGATCTGTAACGTGTCTTTCATCAAGACAATTGCGAGGTAAACAGTAGAAATACAAAGTGATCCACCAGGAGTGTGTGCTTACTGTCTTTGAGTGTTCAGACACAGTTCAATCAGGTTCATGGCTATGTTGATTAAAAAAAAAGAAAGTAGATTAGGGTTATGTACAGATGTCATCTGGGAAATCCCCATTTATAGGAGTGAGTATCAGTCTGCAATGCAAACCTACCTGGGGAAGTATCACTCTTAAACTGGATAACCCAGGTTCTGGTGAACGACTGCGCTGATTGGCTCCCGTGTGTGTGTAACGGAGGACGTGATCATTGTAGGTTTACTGATTTACCAGGAGAGAAAGCACAGGCGCCAAGGGGCATCGCTGAAGTGAGAATGAAGGAAAACACACTGTGTGTGTGTGTGTGTGTGTGTGTGTGTGTGTGTGTGTGTGTGTGTGTGTGTGTGTGTGTGTTTTATGTATCACCGGAAAGGCTGCTGGATCTCTATCGCACCTACACTTTTTTATATCCGATCACAGTAACATGATTTCCTCTTGACATGTGGTCCGCTCTAGTACTGTGGTTGCAGAGCTCTCTTTTTTTTTTAAGTGGAGTATTTATACCGAAACATCCTGGTGTACCGTTTGTGGATGATTCTGGGCTGTATTCCTTTGAGCCTGTGTGCGTGCAAACAGTCATTTTAACTCTGACATGAGTGATGTTTTCATCAGCAGAAGAACAAATGCAACATTACTCAGTGGCTCACAAGACTTAAGACTCACAGGTTTAGTGGCTTATACTCGTAGTCAGGAATTGGATCCACAGCTCTTCCCTTAAAGCCTTGTAAGGCAGACAAGATAAGATAGCAAAAAATGTAGGAGTGCAGACTGCAATCTTAAGTCTGAGGCTGGGAGTCTATTGCTAAGTAGACGGAGAGTTGAGGCTGTATTTTTACTTGTGTCCTGAATGGGCCACGGTCATGTGCTTACCGCATACAGCAGAGATCCAGCAGCAGAACTCAAAGATCCCAAACTGTTGAGTCTGTCAGCTGCTGCTAGGGAAAGCATAACCATTATGTATTTCACAAACCTGAGTTATTAAATCGGTGTACTTAAAGCTTTAATACAGACTTCTGTGACTGCATATCAAGCTCTACTGTTCACTCTCCCATCATAACATTCTTTAAATACGCGTTTCCCTCAGACACAGAAAGTCTTGGTAGTTGCAGTAATCACAAACAGTTTGAGTCGCGTAGGAAACGACTCAAACTGCTGTTGCCCTATCACAGACTGGCAGTATGTCCAATCCTACATGCCTTTATAGTTTAGGCCAGGTCCTAAAAATATACGACTAATCAGTTAAAGCTGTGAAAATAATCATTACAGTGTTTCATTAACTGTCCAGACATTTTTTTAAATACTCCCTCTGTAAGTACTGTAGGTGACATAATTACACATTAACATCAGGGTTGTTACAACCTCCCTCAATACATAAAGGCACAATATCAAAACCGGTTGACTATGTCTTGCGGTGACGTGTGTTTTATTACAACGAAAGTGTTGTGAAGCACTTTGACTGGAATCATGGCACTAACCTCAGAGTAAATAGGACTTGTGGTTTGCTTTTGTCTTTTCAGAAGAGTTTTATAAGTTGCTCTGCAAGCAAGGATTGTTGTTGTGTGCCCTGTTTTTTATCTTACTGCTGGTGATGAGGGGGTTGTGTTATGTTTGTCAGATATGGAACCATGTAGCTCACGGACGCAGCCGTCAAGGTTTTAACTATCTTGAAGTCACAGCAGTGCAGACAGATAATTTAATTCATTTTCCCGTTCTCAGAAATCCTGCTCCACAGTTAAAATAATTATCGCTGAGCATGTGCTTTCAATCAACATGTTTTAGTCTACTTAAGTTGTAGCATATTGTCTTTATTGAAGTAAATGGTCCAACGTCTCCCTCGTCCTGCAAAGTGTAAACAAACGCTAAAAGAAATGTTGATTATTGCGTTTTCTACACAGAGCAGGCGTGTGAATGTGTACCGGTAATCGAGAGATGTATGTTTCCCCTCAAATGAAAACCTTATGAGCAGCATTCATTAATTAGCACTGTTTCTGTTCTCTCTCTCTCTCTCTCTCTCTCTCTCTCTCTCTCTCTCTCTCTCTCTCTCTCTCTCTCTCTCTCTCTGTCTCTCTAGATGGTCAGTGAGAAAGTCGGAGGTGCTGAAGGAACAAAGCTAGATGAGGACTTCAAAGACTTGGAACGGGTAAGAGAGGCATCATCCTCCTCGCTGGTTTAACACACAGTAAATGAACACACGGCTGTTTCTGTGGGACGTCCGTTCTTGATGTTTACACCCCATTCAAAGCTGTTTAATAAGCTTTATGTTGAGGGAAAAGATTCTGACCTCAAAGTCTATAAAACTGTTGAACACTAGCACTGTTTCCTCACAACAAGAAGGTCCTCCCACCACCAAAACTTTCCTTTGGTGGGGTTGCATCGGAACGTAAAAACAAATCAGATATACACATCGTAAAACCAGACTTCCACACCAGATCTGTCGGGTTACCAACTAGATTGAAATAGATGATCCGCTAAAGCAACTCCTAAAGCGAACAGCCAAAACGAGTTTCTTGAATATTTCAAGCAAAAATCCCTAAATTCACTGTTTTCAGTTTCTCAAATGCTGGTCTTCTAATATGATAGTACATTAAATATCTTGTCTGTTGGGCAGACAAAACAGGCAATTTGTAGACGTCACATTGGGGTCCTGAAAAAACTGTTGTCTGACATGTTATAGAATAAACATTTATTCTATTAATCCAGAAAATAACCGTCGGATTAATATATTATGACATTGTTGGTTGCAGTCCTTGTTTGCATTTTTGATTTTGTTTATCATCAAAAACATAAATCCAAATCTAATATAAAGACAAAATACGAACGCTAAACAAAGCATTCAGTTTTTTAGGTTTAGTCAGACCAGCGTTTTGAGATGCGCATCATGTACTGTATCCAAATATGATGGGTATGAAGATAAGTCCCCGTATTTTATTGTATTTTTATTTTTTAAATACGATATAAACTATGTGTATGAACCTCTGAGGTAACGGTTAATAACAAAAGGTTTAAAAGGATACCTCCTCCACTGTTTTGTTTTAGGTTTTGTGATTGCAGTCGCTCCGTTGTGCACTCGTGATGTACGTGTGCTTGCTGTGTTTTGTAGAAGGTAGATGTGACCAGTAGAGCGGTAGTGGAGGTAATCTCCAAAACATCAGAATACCTTCAGCCCAACCCAGGTGAGAGGAAACCCTGTCTTCATGCAATTCATTCCAAACGGTTTGAACTCTGTGACGAAATGCATTTCATCTCCTCTTCTACAGCATCACGGGCCAAACTGTCCATGCTGAACACCATGTCAAAGATCCGCGGGCAGGTGAAGAACCCGGGCTACCCTCAGGCCGAGGGGCTGCTGGGGGAATGTATGGGCAAGTATGGCCGGGACCTCGGAGAGGAGACTAACTTTGGTAAGATGTGTGTCTTTGTGTGTGTGTGTGTGTTGTGGTACAGGAATGTTGGTTGGTACACGGTTGTCGTCTTGTGTATGTGGGGTAGGCTGAATGATAGATTCCACCCAAACTGTTTAAAGAGCTTTGAAAGGCTTTTTGACAATTTTAAGTATTGTATTTGTGCCTGTGTTTTGGTTTTGCCGGATACCATCAGTTACTTCATGTGTGGTCTGATGGCGATATGATTCTCTGGTACTGCACTATTAATCCACTATGTCACTGAGCTGTTACTCTCTGTCTGTGTGACTCAGGCGGAGCGCTGGTGGATGTTGGAGAGTCCATGAAGAGATTGGCAGAAGTCAAGGACTCTCTAGATATCGACGTCAAACAGAACTTCATTGATCCATTGCAAGGGCTCTGCGACAAAGACCTCAGAGAGATACAGGTACACTGACAACATAATTTATTCAACTTGTCAAAATTGAATTTAAGGCAAGATGATATTAACGTATGTG